CACAAGAGTCACTCTTTTATTAATCTTTAAGTAGTTAACTTAAAAAGATAATAGTTAACTTTTCATTTTTATTGGAAAACAATATATATGCACTAATGTTCATATACCATATATTTGTATATATGCAAAGTATATGTGTAAAGTATACACGTTTCAGTTTAACAACTAATAATAAATAGCTACATTACCATATCCAGGCAAAACAACAACAACAACAGAACGTTAATAGCAAGTATCCCAGAAGCCCACAGTGGGTCCCTTCCTGATCCTGACTCACTCTCTCAAATCCATAGCTAATTATTATTCTGACTTCATTATAATAATAGCCTTGTTTTTCTTCATAGTTTACCATCTGCACATGGGTCCTTAAACAGCAGTTTTGTCTGCCTGTGAACTTCACAAGAATGGAATCACACTGTATGTATTCTCTGTTCAGTCCTCTGTGAGATTCATCCATGTCGCTGCATCTATCTAGTTCATACATTTATACTTTCCTATGGTTGTGATCCATCACTGTATGAATATACCACAAGTTATTTTCCCATTCTACCACAGATGGGCATTTAGGGACTTTGTAGTTTGGGTCTATTACCAACACCATTGCACATCACACCCAGGTGCACTATACACACATGTTTGTCCCTGTAGGGTACATATCTAGAAGCAGAATTACCGACTTGCTGACAGCATATTATGATTCCACTTTACTATATAATGCCAAACTGTGATTTCAAAAGATTAGTCAATTTGTACTGGATCACCAACGTATGAAAGTTTCTCCTCTCCTAAGAGTTATACCTAAAGTCAGTTTTTAAATGTCACCTCTGATGTTGTGTATCCCCAAATGAAATTTTTTCCCCCTGAATCAGATTGACTTGCACACTCCCTTGATCCAGACACAAAGGCTGCCCTTAGTATAATGTTAATTATACTAAGCACTCTCCTGAACTTCCTAACCCAAAGCAAAAGCAGGGAAAACAAAAATGGCCAGACACTGCTGGCACCAGAGGAAGAGAGACAAGGCTGAAAAGAACCTTTTTCTCTCTTGGGGATCTATCTATCTAAGCAGCCAAAGAGAGACAATGTATTCCGCATTTTTATCATGCTTTCCCTGAAAGACAAAAATTTCTACTAAAAATTGTGTGATTAATTTCCACTCTATTCCTGAATAGAACTGGATAATAAACAAAGAAACTACTTTACAAAAGAGTACTCATTTACCTTTGCCTAGAATAAGTCAAAGGGAAAAATCATCTAAATATGTTTTGCCTGACCTTACAATGTTATAGAGAAATGTATATATTTGGATAAAGTGCCAAATATATCTCCTTTATCATTTTAGCATCAAGAGCTGGTTTTATATTTATAGACTATTATTAACAAAAAATACTAGAGCAGTATGAGACATGCATTTAACATGTCACTCCCCACCCCCGAAAAAAAAGAGAATAAAAATACAATTTTCAGAAAGGGAGTCACTCCATTCATTAAGCAAGTGCCTCTGAAATAGCATGAGATGGGAGATGTCAATCAATTGCTTTTCTAAGTCAGCCTCAATTTCCTTTCATAATAGCTTTATGGTGATTCATAGGATTTTCCAAACTAATTTTGACTATAGCTGATTTTCACGACTTAGTGAGTCCCTGCTCTGCAAGTGTCAGGTGCTTTCCTCGGAGTAACAGTGCCGTGGGCAGGATCCCCATCGTACACTTGGACCAAGAGAAACCGATCCGCAGAAGGTAAAGTAACTGAGCGATGACACTGACGTGGTAGAGCCAGTGATTAGCCAGGGATGAATCCACCTACTTCCAAGATCTACACCCGTTCACTCCCCCATGCGACCTGTAAATCACTTCCATTGAGATTTCAAATAATAGTATAATGAAGCCAATTAGTATTTCACTGTTGACACTTACCCTAAAATAAGTGATCCAGTAAACTTTATTATGTTTCCTTCAAAGGAAAAAAAAGTCAGTGTGATGAATTTCATTTTAAAAATGACAGGAAATAGGCATATTCAGATAAGAAGTGACTGATATTTTTCCACTAATATAATCAGTTGCTATCAACACCAGGCTTACTATCCCCAGATATAAACTGGGTGCAAAAATATAACCTCATTTCACACTCATTGTCTCCCTCCTCCATCCCCACCCCATCAGCAAGGCCCTGGTCCCCGATGCGCTGCTGGTGCTGCCAGGCCCAGTGCTCCCACTGAAGGCCATCTCCAGGGAGCTGACTTCCCCTCTGACTCCTGTTAGTTCACATCCCATTAAATAAAGGAACGGGGATGGTTCTCCCTTTCACTACTAAGACTCTATTGAGGGATTATGATTGTCTATTGGGATACGAAAGGACTCTTTCCATAGTAATTATGTTAAAATTGGTGGTGAATAGCCCCATTTTATTTATTTTTTATTTATTTTTTATTTATTTATTTTTTATAGGAGACAGTATCTTTTTTTATTATTGATTTTTTTTACAGAGAGGAAGGGAGAGGAATAGAGAGTCAGAAACATCGATGAGAGAGAAACATCGATCAGCTGCCTCCTGCACACTCCCTACTGGGGATGTGCCCGCAACCAAGGTACATGCCCTTGACCAGAATCGAACCCAGGACCCTTCAGTCCCCAGGACAACGCTCTATCCACTGAACCAAACCTGTTAGGCTAATAGCCCCATTTTAAATACACGTTACATTCTACAAGTTTATTTGGAAACGTTGAAAACACTTTTATTAATATTTTTAAAAACCCTAGTGGAAACACAGGTAGTTGCCCATTTAACACATATAAACCCCTTCATCCTTCCTAACACAACCTGATTCCTATCTAAGTCCCAACTCTCTGCAGCTAGGGATGGCTGTGCAACACAGTGGTAGCCAGTCAGATAGAGACAAGTCAACAGCGATCCCTCCCAAATAAAAAGGCAAAGCCTCATAAGATGGCTTTGGCCGGCTGCCTTCTTGATGCCCAGGGATTCAGCAATCATCTTGTGACCATGAAGACAATAAAGAAGTGGGGGAGGAAGACAAGGATTTCTAAACTGCAATTCCTGCCCTAAAGTGTCTCAGTCTTGAGTTCCTGTTATGTTGAGAAAAATGAAAACCTTACTACGTAAGCCATGGTCCTCAAGTCTCTGTTACATGCACTGAACACAACTGACATACCAGCCCTGATGGTGAGGGGCTGTGGCCCATCCACAAGAGTCTGTGTTACCTACATGGTTAGCTGTAGAGGTAGCCCTCTGTTCAGAGCTTCAACACAAGCTGCCAAGAACACATTCTCCTTCTTTCTGAGGGAAAAGGACCTCTCCCCAATCGACTTCCCGCATCAGGCAAGGCAGAGGACAACCCTCCCAAACCTTAGGGCCTAGTGGTCCAGGGTGGGAGAGGACAGTGCCAGGAGGCCTGCAGGGATGAGGTCAGAAGCGCGACACACAGAGCTCCTGGCTGTCCAGCTCCTCTGGACAGTTTCATTCCAACATGGCTCCTGGACTTCCTCCCGCCGCCACAGCGTGGGCCCGGGGCAGCCGTTTATTTCCTTCTCACCACTGCCACCCATCACTGGCCTAAAGAAAATTCACTACCCTTGAGTTTGTTCTGCTAGAAATGAGAGAGGAAAAAGTTCCCTTTTCTATTTAAAATTTCTTAGATGAAGAGGATCTACCCTAAAAACGGATCTATGTGAAGACCAAGAGGAAGCTCTGCGAGAACAGGGACTTTGCGTGATTCAATACAGGCACACCCTGTTTTACTGCACTTCACTTTACTGCAGTTTTTACAAATCGAAGGTAAGAGACTCCACCAGCAAAATGATTACAACTTGTTGAAGGCTCTGATAATGGCTAGCATCTTTTAGCAATAGTATTTCTAAATTAAGGTACATAACATTTTTTAGACATAACAATATTGCACACTTAATAGACTGGAAAACCAAAAAGGCTATGTGACTCGATTTTCTACATTTGCTTTACCGCAGTGGTCTGGAACCGAGCCTGCAATCTCTCTGAGGTGTGCCTGTATTGTCTCCTTAGGGACTAGGTAGGATAGGATAGTACCTGGCACATAATAGATGATCTAGGCCAGTCTTCTCATTTTACAAATAAAGACTAGTGATATACAAGGTAAATAAAGACTTACAAGTAAACAAGATTAGTGCTGGATCCTAAGCTCCCGTAAAGCAAGCACATCTACCTTGCTCACTACTAATACATGTGCCTGGCACTGTGCTTTGCAGGAGTTTAAATAATAAATAGCTGCTGAATGAGAATGCAGTAACACTTAAGTTAAATTCAGAAGGATTAGTATGAATCTAACAGGAAACATGTGGGAGGGAAAAGGGTCCCAAGAAAAAGGAGTGTGCATAGCTCTAGGCCTACCAACCCGGGGCGGGGGGGGGGGGGGGGGGGGGGGGGGGGACTATTAGCCTAGAAAAGGCAAACAAATCTCAGATTTATCATGGGTTCAATAAGCTTTTGTGGACTATCCTGGAAACTTCACCACGCTGGAAGCAGGCCGCTGTTCCTATAAGAAAATGTTATTGTTTAAACTGTACTCACTGATATCTCTCCAGTATGTGCTGCTCTTTGGAGGAGGAGTTGAGGTTCCCATTCTTCTACAACAGACGACACAATAAGCAGCCAGGGACATTCTGTGTATTTAGAACAATTATTATAAATTTAGTTTAGCGTCTAATTAAAAACATTTCTTTTAATCATAAGACATATCACAATCACAATGCATCAGGCATAGGGTTAGATTTTTCAAGACCAGGAAAAAACTTTTTAATTAAAAAAAAATATATATTTCTCCCTTAAAAACTTAAAGCTGACTTATTAGAATATTTTACTAGTATTTTGGTTATTTTTCAAACTGCGTCCAATTGTGAACAATGATTAATAAGAAACTGGAAAACACAGGTTATTAATCAGAACATCAATATAGGAATTTGCCCTGGCCGAGTGGGTCATCCCGTACATCAAAAGTCGTGGGTTCGGGGGGGAGGGAAGCCCGAGCCCCCTGCACCACTCCACACCGACCACCTCCACTCCAAAGCCGGATTTTGCATTTTGCATCCTGGGGGCGGGGCAGACCGGTCCCGGGCCGAATTCTCTTTCTACTCCTCGAGGTTGGCACACCCAGAATGAAGAAGATGAGCAACATTTACGAGTCGGCGGCCAACACGCTGGGGATCTTTAACAGCCCCTGCCTGACCAAAGTGGAGCTGCGTGTGGCCTGCAAAGGCATTTCTGACAGAGACGCCCTCTCCAAACCAGACCCCTGCGTCATCCTCAAGATGCAGTCGCACGGGCAGTGGTTCGAGGTTGACAGAACAGAGGTGATTCGCACCTGCATAAACCCAGTGTATTCAAAACTGTTTACTGTGGACTTTTACTTTGAAGAGGTGCAGCGCCTGCGGTTTGAGGTCCATGACATCAGCAGCAACCACAATGGGCTGAAAGAGGCCGACTTTCTTGGTGGCATGGAGTGCACACTTGGCCAGATTGTTTCCCAGAGGAAGCTGTCCAAATCCTTGCTGAAGCACGGGAACACGGCAGGGAAGTCCTCCATCACGGTGATTGCTGAAGAATTATCCGGCAATGATGACTATGTTGAACTTGCATTCAACGCGCGGAAATTGGATGACAAGGATTTCTTCAGTAAATCTGACCCATTTCTGGAAATTTTTCGTATGAATGATGATGCAACTCAGCAGCTTGTACACCGAACTGAGGTTGTGATGAATAACTTAAGCCCAGCCTGGAAATCATTCAAAGTATCAGTAAATTCCTTATGCAGTGGAGATCCAGACCGCCGGCTAAAGTGCATAGTATGGGACTGGGACTCCAACGGCAAACATGACTTCATTGGAGAATTCACCTCGACATTCAAGGAGATGAAAGGAGCAATGGAAGGGAAGCAGGTGCAGTGGGAGTGCATCAACCCCAAGTACAAAGCCAAGAAGAAGAATTATAAGAACTCAGGCATTGTGATTTTGAATCAATGCAAGATCCACAAGATGCATTCTTTCTTGGACTACATCATGGGTGGCTGCCAAATCCAGTTTACAGTCGCTATAGACTTCACGGCCTCCAACGGGGACCCCAGGAACAGCTGTTCCCTGCACTACATCCACCCTTACCAGCCCAATGAGTACCTGAAGGCCTTGGTGGCTGTCGGGGAGATTTGCCAAGACTATGACAGTGACAAAATGTTCCCAGCCTTTGGATTTGGTGCCAGGATACCCCCAGAGTACACGGTCTCTCATGACTTCGCAATCAACTTTAATGAAGACAACCCAGAATGTGCAGGAATTCAAGGAGTTGTGGAAGCCTATCAGAGCTGCCTTCCAAAGCTCCAACTCTATGGTCCCACCAACATCGCCCCCATCATTCAGAAGGTCGCCAAGTCAGCATCAGAAGAGACGAACACCAAGGAGGCATCGCAATACTTCATCCTGCTGATTCTGACCGACGGCGTCATCACAGACATGGCCGACACCCGGGAGGCCATCGTCCACGCCTCCCACCTCCCCATGTCGGTCATTATCGTGGGAGTGGGCAACGCTGACTTCAGTGACATGCAGATGCTGGACGGCGACGACGGGATCCTGAGGTCACCCAAGGGAGAGCCTGTCCTTCGAGACATCGTTCAGTTCGTGCCCTTCAGGAACTTCAAACACGCATCTCCGGCTGCCCTGGCAAAGAGCGTGTTGGCTGAAGTCCCAAACCAAGTCGTGGACTATTACAACGGCAAAGGGATTAAGCCAAAATGTTCATCAGAAATGTATGAGTCTTCCAGGACACTAGCACCATGAACTCCACGCACTTTTACAGAGTTCCGAAATACTACTCCTGCTACTATTTACTACTTCTACTGCTCCTGTACTTTAAAAAGCCACACATTTAAAAAACTAGCACGTTTTGGTGATTTTTAACTAACTGGCCATTTTTTTTTTTTCTTTTTTGCATGTGTAGCCCTAAGGCCTGGATCTGGTAAGCCCTTGTATTGTTAAAGACTTTTTACAGAGACACACAAATTATTCCAACTTACTCTTTACATTACAGCATGTCGACTTGAAATAAAATGGTATCTGTATCTGTTTTTTATACAGGTTTGTTGAAATTTTGCTAAATTTCTTATTATCTTTACACCGTAAAGCATTTTGAAACAACTACTGAACGTTGATAGCCAAAACGTATTTGGTTCTATCTGCTACAGGATGAGAGACTTTTCAAAATGGTAAAAAAAAAAAAAAAAAAAAAAAAAAAAAAAAAAAAAAAGACAAAAAAAAAAAAAAAAAAAAAAAAGTCGTGGGTTCGATTCCCGGTCAGCGCACATACCTAGGTCACGGGTTAGATCCCCAGGTTGCAGAGTGCACAGGAGGCAACCAACTGATGCTTCTCTCTCTCCCTTCCTCTGTCTCTCTCTTAAAAAAATAAAAATAAAAAGTCAATAATAATGTCAATATAGAAATTTAAAATTTTAATGTCTTTTAAAAAATATATATGCATATACTAGTAAGTAGATATTATTTACTTTTGATGGCTGAAGGCCCTACAGAAATGAAAAGCAACTCTGAAGAAAGGTCTACTTAGGACCCAGGGAAGTATTTAGCTTTTCTCCAGTTCCTTCAAGATGGTCCCCAACACTGTTTCAAATCTTGGACACTTGTTCACTGTTGGCACCCTGTCAAAGGAGAATTGTTGCTCTACCGCTTCACCAACTGAGTATAGATGATCTAAATATGATGCAATGGTTTCTAGAACAACTCAGTATTCTAGAATCATATCAGATTCTCTTTGGATGAGACATTTTTTTTTCTTTCTCTTGGATTAATGTGGAAATGGTCCTTTGGTTCAACATATAAAAAATTCCTAGCAGTTTTATAGAGACTACTGGGAAATTACTTGATGTACATGTGTAAGAAATATGTTAGACAGCACAAAATAAAAAGCTTTAAGATTTTTTCTTGTGATTCCAGTACATCAATTGATGATTAAGCAAACTAGTTTAGGCAACAGGTAAACTTGTAGGTGACTGTTTTAAAGATCTATATTCTAGATCTCAATCCCTTCACTTCCATGGGGACCTTGATTCATTACCTATCCTTCTCAATTTTCACACACTCCTCCCCCTAAATACTGGATGTCCAATGTTCTCTGAAGTATAGGGTGTCCCAAAAAATGTATACATACACTTTGAATAATCATAAAGGCAGTGTTTATTAAAATACATTTCATTTTCAAAATTGAGCTATCAGCTGTTAAAGTGTATATACATTTTTTGGGACACCAAAAAATATATTTACCAACAGTTCTGCCAATTTCTTTCCTTACTATTGCTTCCTATCTATTACTTCCTTCTGGGTTCAAATCATTCCTGAGGAAGGCCTGTGTATAGTCAGCACCTTCAATCTTGGCATACCTGAGAATGTTGTTTCACCTTCTTTCTTCAAACAGCTGATTCAGAACTCTAGGTGAACAGGTTTCCTTCAGCACATTAATGATGCTTCCACTGATATTTCATCTGATACTTCTCATTGTTCATGGGAAATCTGTGGTAAATTTGTTTCTTTGTAAACAAAGTAATAGTAATGAGATTAGCCCTAGCCAATTTGGCTCAGTGGATAGCGTGTCAGCCTGCGGACCAAAGGGTCCCAGGTTCGACTGAGTCAAGGGCATGTACCTTGGTTACAGGCTCCTCCCAGGCCCGGGGCCTGGTTGGGGCTGGTGCTGGAGGCAACCAATCCATGTGTCTCTCACATCAATGTTTCTGTCTTTCCCTCTCTCTTCCACTTTCCCTAAAAATCAATGGGAAAATATCCTCGGGTGAGGATTAACAACAACAAGGGGGGGAAGGGGGGGGGGAGAACGCATGCTCTGGTCTCTCTTTCTAAAAAAAAATTATAAAAAATAGTAATGAGGTTAAGAGTATTCTCTGAAAAAGCACACTATCTGGTTTCAAGACAATCTGAACTGTCTTACTTTAGATGCTTTGACATCTTGGGACCTTAAGGGCCCAGGAGGTGACTGCCCCTACAGGGCTAATTCCTAGAGATTGCAAACATGCTTATGAGCACACTTTTCTATGCAAACTAGCCAGCATTTAAGCCATACTCCCAAGCAAGGTCTTTATCTGCCACACAACAAGTCAATATTCCCTCTGCCCTAAATCAACCTGGGGCCAGGTATCCGATAAGTAGGGACCACCCCTAGAGCCCAGACCCTGCCAAAATTATTCCAACTACCCAATGCTAAACTTGTTCAGCTTCCCTATCCTGTCCTGTCCACTTCTTCCTGAGAAACCCATACAAAGGCTCTGGCCCATGGTTTCCCCTCACTCCCTGCCACCTCCTGACCAGCCCTCCCATCCTCCTGTGGCTCTGTGTGGCTCTGTGTGGTTGACATGCTCCTCCTCTTGGGAACTCTACATAATAAACTTCTTCAAAGCAGTTGTCTCTGGGTCGGTCATCTTACCATACATGATTAATACAAAATCCTGGATACATTTTAAAACACAACTAGACAAATGATTATGGGCTAGTTAATTGATTTCTCTGCATCTCACTTTCCTCATCTATAAGATGGCCATAAGAATAGGATGCTTCAAAGGATTGTTATCAATGTTACATGAGTTAACACAAGTAATGCACACAGGAGAGTGTCTGTTGTAAGTACTCAATAAATGTTATTTATCATTATCATGATTACTATATTCCATCTGGCAATTTAAAGATACTTTCTTTGCTTCTGATGTTCTTAAACTTCTCTACTTAACGTTTGGATATGGGTTTGCTTTTATATACCCTGCTCAGGATTTGGTGTGCTCCTTCAATCGTAGAACTTGTGTCTTTCTTAAATTCTGCAATATTTTTAATAACTATCACTTAGAACCCCTTTCTGTTTTCCCCTCTGGTATGTATGTTAGACTTTCTTACTCTACCCTCCTATTCTAATCTCAACTTCTATATTGTTTTTTCTTTTTTTTATCTCTCTAGCATGCACCAAGGATTGTTTCCCTACACCTATCTTCCAATTGGCTGTATTTAGCCTCACATTCAATCTACCCAGAGTATTCCAATAACTTTTTCTTGTTTCTAAAATTTCGAATCAGCTCACTTCACACTTGCTGGCTATTTATTACACACTGTCCAGTTTTTGTCTAGAAGTACAGCAGGTTAGAGCAAAAGGCCACCAGTTATTCCTTTTCCTGTTTCCGCGTTCGTTAGTAGTGCCCCACCTCCCATACTGACTCTGGACCGGCCTTACCGGGTACAATGACTTTGTCCATAAGACAACAGAAACACCGTGCAAGCTGAGACTGGAGAAGCACTTGCACACCGAGGCTCCGTCTGCGGCTCTTGGGAACCCTGTGGCCACCACCATGTTAATACCCAGCTCAGGCTGCTGGATGACATGAGCAATGTTGCCCAACATTCCCATTAGCCCAGCCACCAGTACTAACTGACAGCCAGTGATGCCATCCCAGACTAACGAGCCTATAGCTAACCCTACAAACCCCATATTCAACCCACAGACTTGTAAGCAATAAGAAAATGGTTGTTTAAGCTACTAGGGTTTGGGGTAGTTTATAAATGCAGCAAAAAACCAACGGGCACGCGTGGTTTCTAAATCTTCCTTTATACTTTAAACGTACTTAAAGTCTCTTGAACCACTATTTCTAATAGTTAGGCTGGCTATCCTTCATGATTTGCTTTTATGCTTTGACTGAGAGCTCATCTGCAGTGGAAGTAATTCCTGTGGGAGTCCTATGTGCTCTGGGCTACAGTGCAGTTTTAAATTTTCTTGGCCAAAGTAATAAAGGTATCACAAATGTATAAATTTTTCAACTTGTGTGTCCCAGCACTATGAAGTCAATGTAAACTCAACCCCACAACCCTGAGTGGCATAGAATTAGAGTTCCAATAGCCACCCTTTCTTCCTCCTGGTATAAGCATGTGGTTTGGGCCCCTGACTTTTCTATCCTAGAGATAGCATCTAGGCCTCAGTTATATTTCAGCTTGTGGTCCAGAAAAGCAGCAAAACCAGACCAGTGACCTCATGGCTGACCTCAGGACCAGCTGCATTGACTAATGACCCCCTGCGCTGGTGTTGGTCAATTAATCAAGAGAGATCTAGACCCTGAAGGGCCCCACCTGGGACGCTGCTGAATATTCTATTGCAGTGGTTCTCAACCTTGGCTGCACATTAGAATCACCTGGGAATCTTTTTAAAATCCTGATTTCTGGGCCTCATCCTCCGGAAATTCTGTTTCTTTGTTACTAATGTTGTGGCCCCAGCCCATAACAAAGAAACAGAATTTCCGGAGGATGATGCCCAGAAATCAGGATTTTAAAAAGATTCCCAGGTGATTCTAATGTGCAGCCAAGGTTGAGAACCACTGCTCTAGGACCTCCCCTAAAATCTCCACCCTTAAAACCCTTAGGACAGATGACCCAGCACACTCTGGAGCAGCAGTTCTCAACCTGTGGGTCGCGACCCTTTCACAGGGGTCGCCTAAGACCATCGGAAAACACATATATAATTACATATTGTTTTTGTGATTGATCACTATGCTTTAATTATGTTCAATTTGTAACAATGAAATTGGGGGTCACCACAACATGAGGAACTGTATTAAAGGGTTGAGGCATTAGGAAGGTTGAGAACCACTGCTCTGGAGCAAGCCTCACCTTTCTTCCACCCTCCCTGCCCCCCCCCCCCCCCCCCCCGTGCATTTCCATTACCTTCCTCACACCCAAGCTCCAAGGGCCTTTCCTTTACCTGTATAACTTGTTTCCTACGCCCATTTCTTCTAGGAACTACATCTTCTACCTCTGTGATTTTATAAATAAATGTTCTCTTATAGTTTGAGTCTTGGCTCTGAATTCTTTCCTAGCCAGAACTCAAGTACCAAGGTTGCTGAACACAGGTCCAGTCTGACCCCACCTGGTCCCATTCCCACAGCCTACAACATATTTGGTGCTGAGACAAAATTGTTCTTACTGTGACTTGGATTGTTTCATCACTGGTAAGCCTTTGTCCTTGCCACCTTGACTTGAAGGACATGCCTGACTGTTCGCTTTCCTCCCTGCCGATTGCAGCACTGTGCGGGCACGGACGAGCATTTCAAAGCTGTGGAAGACTCTTGTACAGGAGTTGCTGGTCATGGACCAGGGAAGTTTGCACTAGGCAATCCACCGACTGCAGGACAAGGCCCC